ACTTTATATTTTTTTCTATGTTCTTCGTCACGTTACACTACTTTCGGGAGCCAACCTAGCCTGTAGTGGCGTTTGTGAGAACTATTGCTTGGTTTGTGGGATGCTTGAGACTAGCTGCCACATTTTCTTCACTTCTAATCTTTCGTTAAGGGAGTAACATAGCTCACCATTTATTTCAAATTAGGTCCATTGTATTCCGAACTTTATTGGGTGATTTAAATTAATCATTTTTTGAATTTTATTCCTCCTTGCAAACAAGACTCGAACTCGGATCACTAATTTAGTAAAATTTCATTCTTACAATTTGAACTAGGTCTTGATCTTGAGTTGAATTAATAGAATACTTTTGTTTTGGCTTTTCAAAATAAAATAAAAGACTACAAGTATGGAAAAACTAAAAAAATAATTATAGAAAAATTTAAAAATCAAAACCAAAAAAAAAAAAAGGTTGGTCAACCTCTAGCATTTGGCCCTGGACCCCTCATCCCAGCCCCACTATTAGCCTCCCAACTGGTGCTCATGTCCAATCCCTCTCCACCGCCCCTTGTCTCATATCTAGCCCCTTCTCTCCTATTTTCAGTTTTCATTTTTCATTTTCTTTTAATTTCCTTTTTCTAATTTTCACCAAGTTTAAACTTCCTTCAATATCACATTTCAGTTGATGTATGTGCATAGAAAAAGGCTGAATGTAAAGTATTTTTACACAATAAGTTTGACAGTCTTCTCACATGGGTGTGGGACCCGTGATTGTGGGCTCCACCCCCATGTGAGAAGACTGCCAAAATGTATGTTTAAAAAGGCTGTAGATGTAGCATTTCTCATGTGCATAACCAACATAACTTGACAAGTTAAATGCTATGTCAGTTTTTACGATAATCAATTACGACGTTTTCACGAATTGAAATTTCTATACGATATAGACAATTGATTTTTGAGTGTTCACTTACCCCTACAAATTCTCTACCAAATTCTTTTCATCAACTATTTTTCGTTCAAGAAATTCGAATATTATCGTTATCCCAAAAGGAAGAATATTTAATTTGGATAATGTTTCTATACCTACTTCATTATCCAAGAAAGAACCGTCCAAAGTTCCTATTGTTTTTTATTCTTCTTCATAAGGAACTTGTTCGAAAGTATCACCTTAAATCTGCATTAGGAAAGGTTGCATAGTGGGAAATCACCTAATTACATTTAAAGAAATTAATTGTAGTAGAATATTGAAGTCCACCAATTAATATATTTGCGGTTGCAAGTTGCCACTGCCGGGATTTGGTAAGACTTTTTTTATATACAGCTGCGAATGTTTCTTCCTCCTCTTCTTCTTCTTCTGCTACTTTTTCATAATCTTTTTCTTATTCTGGTAGTGGCCATTAGGGACGCGGATAGATAGGCAATAGGTATTAAAAATAAATGGGCAAATAATAATGAGCCACATTTTCATTGACATAATGTGTAGCTTTTTAGTTCATAATTTCTTTACGGTTCTCAACCTATGATTCGTGTCATCCATATTTCTAACCTTTTAAAAGTGTTCGGTGTTATCCTAATTTGAAAAAACAATATATTTAGACTTAAAAGGATATATACCTATCCTTTATTTACCTTTGCTTTTCTACTGTGTTATTATTATTCTCGATAATATATAATTAGACGTTTAATCCATAACAGAAGAGAGAGACAAACAAAATTTCGTCGAGTGATGGACAGAGAGAGAAATGCGATAGTACAAGTAGTGTCACAGTCCAATCAGATAATGCTATTGAAAATATTCTTCGAGGATAAATATTACTTTTCTCTATAAGGAGACAAGGTGCAACATATGAAATATGCAATTTGTTTACATCCCCGTGACCAAAGGTTTAACCTTGGTTATATAAATAAATGTGCTACGAGAATAATAGAGTGAGAGTATGTCAGTTAAGCATATCAAACAAAAAATGAAGAGTTTATTAAAAATGACCAAAGACACTACATGACTTCACGAGAGCAACTATTATCAAAAGTTTTGTGCACGTAGAGCTCTAAAGGAGGAGAGAACTGTACTTCAAATAAGAGACAAAAAATGGAAAAGAAGTTCAGAATATTTAACTGAAGATATTTTGTTATGGCAAGTCTATTATATTTTGTCCACAGATAATGCATTCCCCAGAGCTGTTTCGTTGGACCACTTAGAGAAAGTATGCACAAGAACTCACTAGCTGCATATGTTCTTCTTTTTTTCTGATTCCATAAACAAGAGGCATAAAGAGGCACTGAGGCTCAAGTCAAAGTGTCACGCAGCAAATCATGTAAACAGAAAAGTCAACACAGATCCATTGTTAAAAGTGAAGAAATCATATGAATGGTTGAATCTCTTAAGCTGAAGTACTGCATAAAAGGCTGAAGTGCATAACTCTAAAGCGCTACATAAAGAAATGGAAAAAATTTAAGCTCTTCAAGTGGAGGACCTTCCTATTAGGCCCTTAATTCAATTGAAACTCATGAAATTGAAGCCATCTCTTACAAGATTTTTAGACAATCTTTAGATATGATTGATATAACGTTTGTAATAAAGAATGTCATGCGTGTCAGCCTATTATATAGAGCGACTGACTCATTGTCAATGTAGTTATTATATGAAAGACAGTGATGTGAAGTATCAATCAAGGAGATGAGGCCACGTGAATTATAATACAATAATTCTTGGTCTTCTTGTAACTAAAAAGGGGTTGGATTCTTGGACATCTATACTCTTGATCCTTGATAATAAAAATGTATTGCAAAATTCTATACATATCATCTAGATTTTCTCCATATACATTAGTTTTATCTTTTTATTGGTTTACATTGGTATTCGATTGGTGATTGTTGTTAGCACAATCATCTTTGTTTTACTCTCCGGTGCTTGAACACTTTTGTCTCACGCCGTGAAGTATCTCCCGCGTTCACGTTCATCCCACTTCTTACCGGCTCTCCGATCAAAAAACTTCCAAATCTGTTGACCACATAAGCGTCACGTTTTTCGGGCTTAACAGTATATTCTATCCATTTTGGAACCTCCATCTTCTGGGAAAATTGTTAGGCCAAGAACAATATGTAAATCAGTCCTGCGTATACAAACGGAATCATATAGTGATCAGAAGTATATTGTGTACAGTTTAGTTTAACCACAATTTGAACAGTATTCATGCACCTAGAAATACTTTGGAAAAGAAGCGATAGACACAAATATTTTGAATATGGGCACAATCAAACTCTGTATAGATCGAATACTTTGTTCTTAATTTTGGAATAATACATACTTGATCCAAGAAAATATAGATTTACATTTTTAAAAAATTATTTATTGATATTTTGCTCATCATTTTCATCCATTTGATTTCGAACGGTCATTTTATTAATATTTTGCTCATCACAAGAAAATACATATTTACGTTTAAAGAATTTATAGTACATCTGATACAAACAATCCTTTCAAGTAATCGAAAGAAAAAACATATAACAAATATTTAATATTAATAATCAATCAAATAAATACAATTCGTTAAATATAAGTCAAATTGGACATAATTATTTCAAACACGTTCTATATACACAATTTGATTGGAGAAAATGAAACTTTAGGTTCTAATTACTTGAAAATTCGATTGGGAAGTGAAGATTCGTAGTAGATCTAATAATTTGTAAAGAAATTATAAACAATTTTTAAAAAATTAGAAAGGTTAAGGTTTTGGTAAATGACATGAGGGAGAGATTCGTGAGAGAATAAGAGAAAAAAGAAAATGTTCAAATTCATGATGATTTTGTCCCTAATTGGTGGGGATTAAAATCATATTTTCATTGGATTTTAATAAAAGTTGAAAATTTTTAGGTCCCATAAAATATGTTATTAAAATTAATTGTTAACTTTGATTTAAAAAAAGAAAAAAAAAATCCCAAAAGTCCCCCTCTATGTCCGCCCCTGTTTGCTAAGGTAGAGTTGACATTAGTGAACAGTATAAAATGAGAAAAATATGCGGAATCATTGTTTATCGTAATGTCTAGTACCATCTAATACTATGTAATAAATATAAAAGCTTCTTTAGCATAAAATGGTACCAGTCACTACAAGAAATGTCTACTAAACTTCAGAGGATCCTCGACGACCATATCCAAGGTTAATTAATATTGTGTATCCAAACATGGACATCAAGTAGCATTCTTATTTCTACTGCATTCATCATATTGACTTCAGTTTAGAATTCTGGTGTAGGTGCACTAAAAGAAGAGCATCCACAGAAAAAATTTGCATCTGACTTTACATAAAACTCTCTCAGCAACAAGTCAACCATTGAAATTACATGAAGAAAGAAGAAGTTAAATACACTGTACCGCACTTAAATTCAAATGAAATTTACTTTACAATTTTCCTACTTCATCTTTTCTTCTCTTCCCACTTTCTTATCAGGATGATACATACAAATTTAGGTATTTGTTGTGACCAATATGGACCGGGACATTGTCATGGGTCCCAGTAACTCAAAGATGAGTGCTCTTTGAGTCATCAAATTATTATTTAAATTAATGTTCACCTTCTAATTGACCTTGATTATGTCATCAATCAAAAATACCTGATTGGCCTATTGATTTTTCCAGGAAGACTCCAAGATTGACTTTAAATTATCTACTCATTTCCATCATCACAAACTAACTTTTAATCCTTATTAAGCAGAAGATTATCCTAAAACCCAACTTCCATCATAAGCATATGAACATGCATGATTGAACACCATGCATACATGACTCCATGGTAATAACATGGTACATCTGTAAAATATGTAATTAAGGAACATAAGAAGGAAAGAAGTTCAACAACTTACATAATAAGAAGAGCATCAATCATTACATGCAATGCATGCATCACCATTTTTTTTGTATATATTCCAAGACTGCTTTCGTAAGCCTCTGACACTGTTACTCATTGTTTAATCTGGTCCACTTCTTCAGCTTTCTCCTTCTATAAAACCCATTCATTTCTCATGCAGTGCTCCCTTACCAGATCAATGCAATCTGTAAAACAAGACTTCATGTTATCCCCTTCCATATACTCCACCATGATTCCGCCCGAGACCACAGAAATGAACTACTTTGTTCCTGAAAATCCCTCGTCTTTTCCTGCTAATTTCGACTTCGTGCAAAGCAATTTACCAGCATTTGAGTTAAACAGATTCTTGACCAACTTACCAAATTATCAGACATCTCCTCCAGTTCATGAGTTCACTCCAAATTCCTCATGCAACAGCAACAACTCGACCTCTGATGAAACAGATGACCCTCAGTTTTGTATCATCGATGAAAGAAAGCAAAGGAGAATGATATCGAACAGGGAATCCGCTAGAAGGTCAAGGATGCGAAAACAGAGGCACCTTGATGAGCTGTGGGCACAGGTTCTTCGTCTTAGAACTGAGAAAAACAATCTCATAGACAAGTTGAACCACGTGTCAGAGTGCCATGACAGGGTTCTTCAAGAGAATGAAAGGCTCAAGGAAGAAGCTTCTGATCTTCGCGATATGCTGATAGATCTCCAACTTGGTACTTCATATTCTGCTTTTAGAGAACTCGGAGACGTTCCATGCAACAGCACTTATTTCACAACTGAATCTTCAAATTAGTATGTCACTACTTCCTCGAGCCTTCTTCACTGAGCATGAGCTCTTTTACTAACTCTGTGTGTGTGTGAGGAAGAGCGAGAGAGAGAGAGAGAGTTTTATCCGCTTAAATTCCTTTGTAACAGTACAGTTTAATGGATGCTAATCCATGTTTTCCTACGTTTAACTGCATCATATCAGAAGCAACATATGATATATTAATAAAACATGTATCAACCAAGACCATTTTAGTGCACATCAATGCGAAAATTCCAGCTCATAGTGCTAAATATTCATCCAACAGTTAGTGGAGAAAAATCAGTGAAATATTATTCACTTTGGCCAATAATATACAAATATTAGAATCTATCATTAGTTTCTTCCCATGATAATCCAGATTACTCCACCAAGATGAATCATATGTTTAGTCATCTGAGAATTGGATCAGAGGAGAATATCAGAAGATTTCATAAGGAAACTGAAAGAGAACACCAATATAGAACCAAATTTAAAGCTTCGTGATGATTTATATGATATAGTTCCCTTTTCCAAAATGAACCAAAATAAGGTAACAAAACATTAGAAAAAGAAGTATACATTTGTGTTGGGCTCCAATAACTAGAAGGCAGGGCCCATGGCCAGCATTCTGTGCTCACAGAGTTACAGGCAGAGGGACAAATGGTGGTGGAAACGCTGGTGATAGTGGCTCATAATTGAAGAAAGAACCATAAGAGGCAAAACACTTGAAAAGGCAACAAATTACATTACAGCTACTGTTTTTATATTTTATGAGGCCAGCAACCCGGTCTACGGAGATCATATAGAAGAGACTATCATTCAGGTGCTTCCACTTGTGCACCTCACTGTTACTGTACTGCATTTTCGTACAAGTGGAAAATGGATATGTACAACATTCTACAGCACTTCTTTCTCCTTTTTAGTCTTGCTCGCCCCCAAAATATCCATAAAAAAAGGAAGACAAAAAAAGAAAATGAAACAAATAGGAACTTCCTCTTCCCTTATCTTTGTGTCAAACACCTAACAATAAGAAATCTTAATTTAGTATTCTGATTTTTCTGCTTAGGTCTATGTCATGAAATTCCACTTAGATTGGCTAATTTGTTTAAGTCAATTAAGACTAGCTTTTGTACTTCCCTTTTAATGAACTCTAGCTGTGTGAAGATAGAACCCAGCCAAAAGATTGATATCTAAAGTTCAAAGAGGGTGTCTTTAACCAACCAAAACCATGTATTTACTTAACAAAAAGAAACAAGAACAAAACAAACCAATAACAAGAGGAAAAGGAAACGGAAATCAAGATTGATATAACAATGTAATAAAGTGGGAAGCCGCGTAAGTACACAAAATGAACAAACCTCTTCAACATCAATTGCACATGTAGTTGCTTGCCCGATACATTATCTTAATACCAAACGTCCAGACCATCTTAAGCTCTTGTTTGGTGGAAATTAAAATCAGATTTTTAGTAGATTTTGATAAAGTTGATGAAATATGTTGTTGAAAAGTCGTGGGCACATGAAATATGTGGTTAAAATTGATTGTTCACTTTGATTTATTTTACTAGATTGTAATCAATACCAAACGGGGGCTAAATGACTTACTATTTTGTTAAAAAGATCTCTCTATATAATTTCCGAAAGGTAAGGCCTCGTCATGTATGAAAGGTTAAACTTGATAAAATTTGCCAATAATCACCTCACATAGCAATGACGCTGCGAGCAGATCTATAGAAAGCTGCTGTACAGCAAACAAGTTCACCACTTACTTTCTCGAAAATATCAATGATCATTCCTCTGTGGACAAAATTTGTGGTCGACCTGAGAGCATGTGTCGTCCATAAAGATATCTCAACTCTAGGTTTTACCCATGACTTTGGTTGGCATGGAATTTCAATTCCAAATATTTCCACAAACTGCGGCAAACTTTGGGCCACACAAGCCAGTCTCAAAATCCCAAATTAGCTTATAATGATCACACTATGTTCAGTGCCTTATTACTGTGAGGAACAACAATCTTACAGCACAATTCCAGTAGCATCGTCATCTATTATCTCAATCTACGTTAATGGCAACAAAAACACTTCCCATATTATTTCCTAATACACCCTTCATATGCAAATTAACATTATGTCATTATCCATTAGCATATTGTAAGTTTTCAAAACAAAAATGACAGTAGCAAATTACACCCAATAAATTAATATACGTGACCATATTATTACGCAAAAGAAATCGAAAATCGATACCTGGGGTCGCAAAGTGCGCGAATGAATGACAAATTTGATTCAAGTTAACTCGCGTAATGTGGGATCCTTTCATCAGAAAATCCACATGTAAATATGGGATTTTTCACAGATAAATCATTTTTTCGTGAAAAATCAGATAATTGGCAAGAAAATGCCAAACGGAAAATTTTTACTTTGAAATTTTCAGTGAAAAAAACGTAGAATGGGACGCTTATCGGTTGATTTTGTTTTTCTTGAATTCGCGCGAAAGAATTGGGCCACCGGGACCTATAATTTGGGCTTGGTCCACTTTAGGCCTGCTTGGAAGTTTTGGAATCACGGCAATGAGGTTTTTCCGATTTTGAGTTTTTACGACTTTTAAAAGGGGAAATTACACCTACACCTGCTTTTAGATTTTCATTTTCACAAATCATATCACAAATTTAAATTTTCAAAAATTAGGTTTTTTATATTTTATTAAATATTAATTATATATCTATCATCACAATTAAAAAAACCTAATATAACCTAAAATCATTCTCTCTCTCTCTCTCTCTTCTATTACAACTAGACCTGCTTTTAGATTTCTATTTTCACAAATCCTATCACACATTTAAATATACAAAAATCAGGTTTTTTATATTTTATTAAATATTAATTATATATTTATCATCACAATTAAAAAAACCTAATCAAACCTAAAATCATTCCTATCCTCCCGTCATTTCTTCTCTCCTCTCCATCACGTTCTCTCCCCCGGTACCCATCGCCGCCGCCGCCGCCACCGGACTGCTACTTCTATTTTCTTCACAGATCCCTAATTTTTCCCTCTCCACTCCCTCTCCTCTCCCATCCCTTTCTCTTTCTCCCCTGCCCTCTCCTCCCCTCGCCCTTCTCTCTTTCTCGCCTCCCTCCCCTCCCCCTTCTGCTGTGAATCGTAGCAACGTCGCAGCGAAGCTGCTGCGATTCGCAGCAGCAGCAGATGCTGCGAATTGCAGCAGAAGCAGCAGATGCTGTGAATTGCAGCAGCGCTGTAGAATCACGAATCGCAGCAGTGGGGAGGGGTTTTGGGGATTTTTTTTAGTCTTGTGCCAACTGGTGCCGATGCTACACCACCACACAACTGCCTCCTACAGGTAATGGTTTTGGTTGTAGTGCCGATGCTACACCACACAACTGTGAATCGTAGCAACGTCGCAGCGAAGCTGCTGCGAATAGATGCTGCGAATTGCAGCAGCGCTGTAGAATCGCGAATCGCAGCAGTGGGGAGGGGTTTTGGGGATTTTTTTTAGTCTTGTGCCAACTGGTGCCGATGCTACACCACCACACAGCTGCCTCCTACAGGTAATGGTTTTGGTTGTAGTGCCGATGCTACACCACACAACTGTGAATCGTAGCAACGTCGCAGCGAAGCTGCTGCGAATAGATGCTGCGAATTGCAGCAGCGCTGTAGAATCGCGAATCGCAGCAGTGGGGAGGGGTTTTGGGGGTTTTTTTTAGTCTTGTGCCAACTGGTGCCGATGCTACACCACCACACA